TGGAAAATCTTTCTAAATGCCTTAAAGGTCAATACATTCTCAACCAACCCTTCTTACATAAGCTAGCTAACACATGTAAATTGTATAATGTAATTGTGAGGGGTTCAAGTCAAATGGTTAGTTAAACAAATAGTCAAATGGTTAGTTAAAGGCTACTTATAGCCTTATAAAAATCAGCTAGCTGCTAGCTATGTACAATGTATTGCAACACTTGAAGCCTCTGTACCAAAAACTTTCAATTCATTGGAGCATAATACACACGAAAGGCAGCAAGTTTATATTCCAATTAGTCATAGTACATTTTTATTTTATACTAAACCATGAATAACAATACCCCAAAATAAATTAAAGACTGCTACTCAATATACCTACCTATATAAATATATAAAAAATCAAATGATTCAATCTCATGATTTAATCATTGCCAACCCTGTTTTATAGTATATATACTATAAAATATAATATATATTCAGTACCATATATCAGCAATGAGTACCATCAAATGGCGTAAAAAGGGAGGGGCGGGGTAAATCGGGACGCATGTCCCACATTTCGTAGAAATGTTGTAGCAGCTAAACTAATCAAAACATTGCAAAACTAAAAATAGTGGCATAAACTTCAACATTTTTACTAGTATCTATTATGTATAAAGCTAGTCAAGAAAACAAACATTACGGTACTATCTCTAAAAAATTGCTGAAAAAAAGTGTGAAAAGTGCAATTTTGGAAAAGTACCTCTGCTAAGGTCTGGAGCAAAAAAATATTTGCCGTATTAAAAAATTTTACTTACATAAAAGTTGCACCCAGGTGTCGGCTTGAAGACGTAATTAATGGACTTTGCCTATCTCATTCCAAAAAGAAAAATGGCAGCCATTTCCGCACGGCGGGGCTACTCGGGACACCCCCCCTCCCGGGGTAATTAGGGACACCCTTAAAAATGCTTTTACAGTAGAACCTCAGTTAGCAAAGGTTCCAGTTAACAAAAAAATTGACTACCGTCAACTGGGGCTACTCGGGACAGATTTGATCGTTTTTTTGTTAATAACTGTTAATAACTTCTTACGATGAAACATTTCATAAACAAATTTAGGCTCATTTTATAGCTCTTTGCAAGGGCTATCGAATGGCATTGTCAAAAAATTCCATATGCTATTCGTAAGGTGCCAGACGCAAAATAAAGATTGTCCCGAGTAGCCCCGTCAGTCGGGGCTACTCGGGACAATGGGAATAAAACTTCATTTCAAAACATTTGAAGCATGCAGAGCATACTCATCCATTACTAACAGTACTCTGAAGTCCTCCTCTTTCATTGTAGATGTTGTAGAGGTAGAATAAATGACATTTTCTGTGATTTTTACTTGTTTTTCCTTTATTGATATGGTATTGCCATATACATTAATTACCGTATTATTGATGTGCAATTATCGTATTGTTGATGCAATATTACGGTATCCATGAACATGCCATTGAGCATTTACAACAACCTTGTCCACTGCAAGCTTCATATCAGCAGCCTTATAGCATTTTTTTCGTATCTGTAAGCTTACAGGACGGCTCGTAATTTCAAATCATTTTAATTGGGTTAAGTGAATTTACTATAGTAAAAAAGATCGTGAAAAACATACCTGAAACAGAAAGGAATGTTTCAGTGACAACCAACATATCTTTTGGAGAAATAAATCATAGTTTAGGTCAATTACTTTTCATTCTATGATGCCTGGTGCACAATTCTATACATGACATGCTATGCACAATTTTGTGATGACCAATGATGCACTAATTTTTCGATAAGTGAAATTTTTTTTCGCTGAGCAAGGAAAATGTGATCAATATTCTTTGTTTTTAATCATTTTTTTTGTAATTGGAGCCTTTGCTAACTGAGGTTCTACCATAAATGCGTTTTGGGGGGTGTCCCAAATAGCCCCGGGGGGTGTCCCGAGTAGCCCTGCCATGCGGAAATGGCTGCCATTTCTTTTTGGAATGAGATAGGCAAATTCTGTCAATTACGTTTTCAAGCTGACACCTGGGTGCAACTTTTACATAAGTAAAATTTTTTAATACGGCGAATATTTTTTTTGCTACATACCATAGCAGTTGTAGTTTACAAAATATAGTTTTTCACCATTTTTTCAGGAATTTTTCGAAGCAAGTAAATGTAGTATTTTTCGACTTCCTTTATACTACATAGATAGGAAAAATGTTGACGTTTATGCCACTATTTTAGTTCTGCAATATTCCAATTAGTTTTGCTACTACAACAGTTTTACGCCGTGTCGGAGTTCGTCCCAAGTAGCCCCGCTTGTCCCAAGTAGCCCCGGTTGACGGTAACAACAAAGAATTTTTATTACATTTGCCTTGCTTGGCAAAAAAAATTCACTTATCAAAAAATTAGTGCATCATCGGTTGTCACAAAATTGTACGTAGAATGCTATATATAGAATTGTGCACCGGGCATCATAGAATGAAAAGTAATTGACCTAAACTATGATTTATTTCTCCAAAACATATGATGGTTGTCATTAAAACATTATTTTCTGTTTCAGGTATGTTTTTCACAATATTTTTTGTTATAGTGAAATCACTTGACTCAATTAAAAATGTGCACAAACAACAAACCATCCTGTTAGCTTACAGATACAGAAGAAATGCTACATGGCTGATGATATGAAGTTTGCAGTGGACAAGGTCATTGTCAATGCTCAATGGCATGTCCATTGATACAGTAATATCACATTAATAATACAGTAGGTAGTAATTAATGAATATGGTGATATAATATCAATAAAGGAAAAACAAGTAAAAATCACAGAAAATGTAATTTATTTTACATCTACATCATCTACAATGAAAGAGGAGGACTTCAAAGCACTGTTAGTAATGGATGAGTACACTCTGCATGCTTCAAACCTTTTAAATTAACTTTTATTGCAAGTGTCCTGGATTACCTTGTTCCCACTCCCAGGGGTAAATTGGGACGGTTTTATTTTGCGTCTGGCACCTTACAAATAGCATATTAAATTTTTTTGAAGATGCCATTGGATAGCCCTCGTGAAGAGCTATAAAATGAGCCTAAACTTGTTTCTGAAATGTTTCATGGTAAGAGTTATTAACAAAAAACGCTCAAAACCGTCCCTTTTTACCCCGCTTGATGGTATACCCAAAACCAGTGGCAATGCTGAATCTTTTTAGACATTTTTTTAGCACATTTTTTTCATTTGTGGAAAAACTCCCTAATGTGCTTGTCATGTCTGTCTGTCTGTCCGTCGGTCTGTCCGTAACTTCATGTTTTCATCAAGGAGAAAATGCGCTCTCTGTCAATCACTGCAGTGAGTAATGAGTTATATTTTTTTTAGTTCTATGAGTAACTAGTAAAGTTATATGGATATCAGCATTATCAAATAAATACATATTGAATAAACTTTTCAACTGGATTTGGGAATTAAAAGTGAACTGTTTTCTAAAATGTCTTTTGTTTGACACTATGAAGGCCAAATAATTTCATTGAAGATTGTGAAGTTGGGGTCATATCAGGCTGCATTATAACTGTGTTGTTTTTTTGACTAATATATAGTGTGGTAAACTTCAACATTTTTGCTATCTATGTAGCATAAAGAAAGTTGAGAAATTTTAGGTTTGATAGCTCTATAAAAACCATAAAAAATGTTGAAAAGTGATATTTCAAAAAGGTACTTCTGCTAAGGTCTGTAATAAAAAAATTATTGCAGGGACACCCCCTGGGGTAATACGGGACACCCCAAAAACACACCAGCAGTGGAACCTCAGTTAGCAAAAGCTCCAGTTAATGAAAGAATCAATTAACAACAAAGAATTTTGATTACATCTACCTTGTTCAGCAAAAAAATTTTCATTTATCAAAAAGTTAATGCATCATTGGTCATCATAAAATTGTGCATAGAATGTCAGATAGAGTTGTGCCCCGGGCAACAAAGAATGAAAAGTAATTAACCTAAACTATGACTTATTTTTCCAAAAATGGTTGTCAGCAAATTATTCTTTTCTGTTTCTGGTATGTTTTTTATAATTTTTTTTGTTAGTGAATTCACTTAACCCCATTAAAATGGGGCACAATTACAAGCCCAGTCCTATAAGCTTACAGATACAGAAGAAATGCTCTGCGGCTGCTGATATAAAGCTTGCAGTGGACAAGGTCATTGTCAATGCTAGATGGCATGTCCATGGATATGGCAAAATTACATTAATAATATGGTACTGTAATGTATAGATAGTTTAGTATCATATCAATAAAGGAAAAACAAGAACACAAATTACAGAAAATGTCATTTATTCTATATCTACATCATCTACAAAGGAAGAGAAGGACTTTGGAATACTGTTAGTTATGGATGAGTAACCTTTGCATGCTTCAAATGTTTTAAAATTAAGTTTTATTTCAAGCTTCTCATATTACCCCGTTTCCAGGGGTATAATTTGGGGCGCTTTTCTTTTGTGTCTGGCACATTACAAATAGCATATGGCATTTTTTCAGAGATGCCATACAACAGCCCTTGCAAAGATTTTTAAAATGAGCCCAAACTCAATTATGAAATGTTTCATGGTAAGAAGTGATTAATGAAAAAAAAACTCAAAATGTTCCCTTATACCCCGTTTGATAGTATAAAAAACAATATAGGTAATTATACCCCGTTTGATAGTATAAAAGAACAATATCAGTAATTGCCTCAATATTAATAATTGCAGTCCGCCGCGTTGTCCAGGTCTATATTTCATGTACTTGAATCTCTAAACAATTCAGGCTTCTACAGTATTGTCCAATTACCCTTCAAAAATGACCTCTTATAACTTCGATTTATCTAAGACTAATGCCAGGTCTTTTATTATTGTCTCTAGTGGTGGATTATACATTTATAAGCAATAATTAAACAATTGATAATTTTAAACAATTATCCAACAGTTATTTTTTTCAACTGGTATAATTTCACCTCTTAACCTAATAATTTACTTGACAATTTTTATTTACAGGCATTCTATAGTTTTGGCCATGGTACTTTAGCTAGCCTTGAATCTAACCTATTAGCTATGTCTTTCATTCAGCTATCTGCATCTAGGTTCGGCAGAGCTTTCATTTGCCAGAACTTGGCTCGTATATGTCCAAGTGTAGCATCGGTTCCATTCCGAAGTTCTTTTGAGGACATATTACTAGGAAAAGCAACATCTGCTTTCCGCTACTGCAGCAATGAATCTTCATCAAAGTCTGACAGTGCTGGTGAAGAAGATAAGGTATCCAACACGAGTGTTTTTGTGCAAGATGGACTGAATATTGATGAGCTGCCTTGTATTGTTCGTATTGTTAGAGGAGAGTTCATTGTAAACGACGGGGCCCAGACACGAAAAAGCAAAAATGTGCTTGCACCTGGCATTGAAAGCAAGTCTCCTACTGAACATCAAAAGCCCATCAACTATGAAGAAGAAGTGGAAATGATTCAAGGATTTTTCCGATGTTCAACTCTCACTGAACTATATTTTCTCCTTTGTCAATGTCCTGAAGACGAGGTTACGCCTCCTGTAGCTTTTTCTGTAATTCGAAACATGATCCAGTTAGAGAATAATAAGAAATTCCGCAATCCAGCATATCGGTATCTCCAAGACCAGCCTGAAGAAACTCCCATCAGTGAATTAATGAAAGGTGCGGGAGCTATGACACCCATACCAGAAAACTTCACACGCGCTGCCGTTATGGAGAGGCTCGTTGACAAAATATGCAAAGGAGCCGACACGGTTTTGGTGCTAGACACAGTGAAGGCGTTACGTAAGGACACCAGCAGCTGTGACAAAACAGCCTACATCAAGCGGCTGTGCGACAAATGTCTCATTTTAGTCAGCGAAGGAAAGCTAACTGTGTCCCAGATAGCAGCTTTAGCTCAAGATCTTCATCTATTGAAAAGTGATTTGGCTAAGTCATACACCGACAAACTTTGGACTGGTTTAGAAGAGAACACAGAAGACCTTGACGAAAATGAAGTTTCTGAGCTGTTTTCTATGTTGCCTTTCATCAGTCAGAGCCGCAAACATGTCTACCACCTTGCTGAGAGACGAGCACTTTCTATTTGGTACAAGTTCAAACCGGATCATATCTTGCAAATGATATGCATTTTGGTCACGTGCCAGTGTAATTGCTATAGGCTACTCGGCGCCATTTCACGATGGATGAATGTCCACATTCACACTCTAACAGAAGGTCATCTTAGGTGGATGATGTTCGCTTTCAATAAACTGAATTTTACGAGCAGCAACCTACAAAAAGCCCTCACTCGCTACGCTAAGGCCAAAAAGTCAGTGATTGCCGACCCTTCATTGGTCGCATCGCTGATGGATTACTCCGCTGCTATGCGCTTCAGAAGCCCTGAAGTGATGGAAATGAGTGCAGCGTATTTCATAGCCAATCACGCTAAGCTCAACGTTCCTGACATCTACAGCATTTGTCAGGCCTTTGGCTCCTTGAACTACGTTCCAAAAGATGGCTTCACTTTCTTCAAAGTTCTTGAGGATGTATTGAACAAAAATTTTGTTGCGTTTTCTCCGGACGCTTTCGTAGATTTGCTCATGACTTGCGTGTATCTTGAGAGGTATCCTCTGAACTTCATTGACAAGGTGTATCACCCTTTCTTCTTTCAGAGACTGGAGGTGCTCAGTCCTAACGATATTAAACAAACGCGCACTAAGCTCAGAATCTTGGATAAAGCTTTGAGTTTGGAAACATCTTGCCATAAGAAACGCGTGGTTTCCAAATCTTTTGCTTCAAATGGTTGGATGTTTAGAGATGTTCGAATTGCCAAATGTGTCAACCAAATACGCCACGTCGTCGAAGATATCGCTGGCTCCGCTAACAGAGTCCACACAGCAGTAAGCCCGACAGGGTTTCCATTCGTAAGCTTCTACAAAGTGGACTGCCTGGTAGATCTTTCCATTAAAAGTGAAGTGTTCGAATCGCTTATGCCTGATGATTGTAACGAAAGATTCGCTCTGCTCATTCATCTTCCCGAACATTACGATGTGTCACGTCGCCATTTCCTTGGTCCTCACGCAATGAAGATTAGGCAACTTAATGTTGCGGGCTTCAAAGTTGTCAACTTAGACTACGAGAACATCCAGAAATTGCTCTTCAACTCTCCAGCTCTCAAATCGTACTTGTTGAATTCTATGACTGAGGCCCTACGATGAATTCCCACAGATAGTGAGTGAATATATTTTCAACTATTCTGCTGAAATTTCACTGATAAAAATGTGATATTCTTGAGTCTTCAACAATCATTTAACGTTGCGATAATTACCGCCTTCGTTGACTTGGATATTCATGTGCAATATTACTTTATTTCGATGATCTTAGCACCATTAGCCAGGAAGGATTAAAATGTGTCATTTGTCACTAATGTTTACTACCAACCTTTAATTGTTTAGAAAATTTAAACGTGTAGATTCAGCATAAATTTATTTGTGTTTGCTTGTATTCAAATCAAGTTAATGAATTAAGTATTACATGGAAGTCTAATTGGATTATTGTTCTCACAGGCCATTGGACGCGAGGAATCGGACCAATCTTGCAAGTGTTGCTGTCGGACGGTGACTGCCTTTCACATTGTAATCGAGAAATAATTTTAAAATAGGCTTGAAAAATAATCACAAAAAGTTTATATTTTCAGTAATCTTTTTTTCTATGCACAGTAGTGCTCGGGTATAACGTATCACGAAAAATTCAGAAATTTTAAATTTCTTAGATCAATTCAATCTTATTATGTTTTCGTTTAAGCAGGTGTCAAGATTCATTATAATAGGTTTCAACATTCACCGCTTGTGCCATCGTCTACAACTAAGATTTCGCGAGATTTCTTAGCCATGTCATTTATTTCGCCCTTTGACCTTGTTTAGATACAATTTATGGGTTTTCTGTTGCGATTAAAATCTATATTTGTAATACCGCGTAATACAAACTCGGTTTTTAACATAATTCAATATTTTTATTCACCTTGTTTTTCTGCCGACCTCGGGAAGACTCCACTATTCCTGCACCGTTTCCTGTTCCAAGTCCACTCAAGAGATACAAAACGGCAACACTCAGAGGAATAAGAGGGATATTGTTTAAATAGCGATGTGAGCTTCGTCACTATTTGGACAACGTGACTCACTCATTTTTGCTAGAGTAGCCAAGCCGCATAACGGCAAGACTTGAGTTGCATCACGTATTCATCAGTGCTGCTGTATGCTGATTATGTTCTCTTTGTTTTAGTTCATATTTAGCATGAACTCGAGGTGCAGGGTGGTGGCGTCAAGGGACTTTGGCTCGCCCTGGGTTTTCCTGGCCTCTTAATATTATAGAATAAAAAAATTGGGCTTTCTTTGAGAAAACAGCATAAATTGAATGAAAGAAACGAATAATAAATTATCGAGAAAACCTTCGTTAAAACTGATATCTTTAAAAAATGTATTCAAATTGTATATTGTTCTGCAGTTAACACAAAAAGAATTTTTTATATATTATATAGTCTGCCTCAACCACCTTCACAACACGAAAAATGATCTCCACTAACAGTATCAAGATTTTAAACGTCGTGAAGCGGGTGACATTTCATCGCACGTCGCAAGTGTTGCAGCAAACAAGAAATGTAGCAGCTTCTCCTCTTCGTCCTCCGTGTCACACGAAGAGCTTCTCGTCGTCATGTCCTCGTCAGAGCGTCTCTCCTGACGACCATCACTCTCTTACTGCGGGCACTAGTGAAAATTTCTCACCAACTGATCGGGGGCCATACTTTCAAAATTCGCTAAGTGAACGTAAGTACTTACGCTCTATTTTCATGTCTATGATTGGTGGATTTTGCTTGAACGGCCGTCAATGATTGGCTGATGAACTTACGATCTCTTAACTTTTTTTTTTTAAGTATGGGATCAGTTATGCACAGAAGGTAAGCATTGAGGCTTCAGTTCCTTATTTGACAATTGCATGGCTCGAAAATATAGATGTTCAATGTTATCAACATTTCAGGTTAGTATGTATTTACCTGGATATAAGTTTATTAGTTACTTGGTGAATAGATATAAGGTGTATCTGATACAACGATAACTATGTTTATATTTAACAAAGTCGCGGCATCAGTAACTTTTATTAATGACAATATATCGTAATAAAACTCGCAAATCGATTAATTTTGTAGAATTTTGGTGCAATACTCAAGATAAAAATGAGAAATAAAGGATAAATTTGTATTCAGTAATGAAAAACTTTATATTTATCGTGGAAATTTTTACTAGTTTCATAATTTGCTGTGGTTATTTCTCACATTTTTTTTACCCTAGTAGGCGTCACTTACAAAAATGAGTGCGTCATATTGTCCAAATACTGACGCACTTTCTTGCCCACCCCCCGAGCAGAGAGCGGACGTATCCCTGATACGCTCTTTTGTCGGGTCAAACCTGGTTAGTATGACCTGCACAAGTGTAGAAAATGCATCGGTATTTAGACACAGTCTCGCTTATTTCTCTGTGTGGGGTAGAAAGTGCATCGCTATTTGGGCAGTCTCGCTTATTTCTCTGTGTGGGGTAGAAAATGCGTCGCTATTTGGACAGTCTCGCTCATTTCTCTGTGTGGGGTAGAAAGTGCATCGCTATTTGCACACAGTCTCGCTCATTTCTCTGTGTGTTGAACCATGCGTTACCTGTAACCCAGAAAGTGTGGGCGCTGTCGTGCGTCGCTACGCCGACGAGCTGCAGGAGCGCGACGTGCCTGAAGCGCTGCTCTCCGTGCAGCACATCGTCGCTAGCGTGCTGGACTGCAGCAGGGTGAGCTTAGAATAATTATATAAACTGTAATTATTATTATTATAATATATAAATAATAATAAATTATAGAATAGAGTAGAAGTGTCGGCACTGAAGAAATAGGCATATGGCCTGTTGCCGATTCATGAACTTTTCGTGACTTGATTCACAAGGGGTCCGGCCTTTGGAACCCGATCTTTCTATAGCTGACGATTGATTGAGATAGCTGCTGGACTTATTGTCTAGCTGGTCCGTAAGTTGCTTGAGTCGTTAATGTTGGACGTTAATATTGATTAACTTCTCATTAAGAAGTTGATCAATATTGATTATTAGTTATTCTTATTAATATTGATCGGCTTAGTATTATCTTATTATATTAACTTATTGATTACTTAACGTCTTGAGTCATTAATATTGGACGCTAATATTGATTAAGTTCTTATTAAGAAGTTGATCAATATTAATTATTAGTTATTGTTCTTAATATTGATCTTCTTATTATAATCTTATTATGTCAACTTATTGATTACTTACCGACTTGATTTGTTAGTATTGGATGCCTCTGCCTCACGTGCCTGTGTTGTGTGCCTCACGTGTCTCTGTTGTGTGCCTCACGTGCCTGTGTTGTGTGCCTCACGTGTCTCTGTCGTGTGCTGCCTCACGTGCCTGTGTCGTGTGCCTCACGTGCCTGTGTCGTGTGCCTCACGTGCCTGTGTCGTGTGCTTCACGTGCCTGTGTCGTGTGCCTCACGTGCCTGTGTTGAGTGCCTCACGTGCCTGTATCGTACACATCACGTATCTTCTAATTCCTCGTATAACATTGCGTTAGGTGCTGCCTAAAAGTCTCTTGGTAGCTACGTTTGTTGTTTTGATTCAATTTGAATGTTAGGGCTGTTTATGTATGACACGACATATGTCCGTGGCTGTTTTTCACGGAAATATGATGATTTACCATGCACATAATTATTAATTGTTGTACACTTGGAGGATTCTCTGATCTATGAGAACAATTCACTGTTCTCGAATGTTAGTTTATCAGATTCATGATTTAGTCAAGTTTTTCTTCCAACTGTCCAATTTCAAACTGGAGCTCTAAGTGATGCGTTATTGTCTTAATTATAGTAAAATTATATGTATATTGAGTGTATTTATTTTAATTTGCAGGCTTCCCTTGAGTCAAAAGAAGGCCAGGTTTTGTCGCCCAGTCAGTCGGAAGACCTGAGACGGCTCATCACCTGTAGACTAGAGAGGTGTGTAGACCTGGTCTGTTGTAGACCTGGTCTGTTGTGGACCTGGTCTGTTGTAGACATGGTCTGTTGTAGACCTGGTCTGTTTTAGACCTGGTCTGTTGTAGACCTGGTTTGTTGTAGACCTGGTCTGTTGTAGACCTGTTCTGTTGTAGACCTGGTCTGTTTAAACCTGGTCATTTTTAGACCTGGTCTGTTGTAGACCTGGTCTGTTGTAGACCTGGTCTGTTGTAAACCTGGTCTGTTGTAGACCTGGTCTGTTGCAGACCTGGTATGTTGTAGACCTGGTAGACCGTAACGAAACCGAACAAAGAGCTGACCAATTCGGTCGGTTTTTGCACGCGACCACTGCAGGATTAAGAGGTTATTTATTTATATATTTCGGAGCATAATAATATTTTGCAACCCCTATCTTATAAAGGTTGAATTTTAAACTCAAATTTCAGGGCTCCAGTGCAGTATATCATCGGGGACTGGGACTTCCACGACATCACCCTGGACGTGCGGCCGCCCGTGTTCATCCCGCGGCCGGAGACTGAGCAGCTCGCGGATGACGTCATCCGCTGCGTCAAGGCCTGGCCGGGCGCAGGCAACCCGCGGCTGCTGGAGCTCTGCTGCGGCTCTGGCGCCATCACGCTCGCTGTGCTGCGCGCCTGTCCTGGGGTAACTTTTGTCTGTAACTGGGGTAACTCTTGTGCTTAAATCTAGGGTGACTGCTGTGCTTGAATCTAGGGTGACTATTGTACTTGAATCTAAGGTGACTATTGTACTTGCATCTATGGTGACTATTGTACTTGAATCTAGCTATTATCTAGGGTACTTGAATCTAGGGTGACTATTGTACTTAGACCTAGGGTAACTTTTGTGCTTAAAACTAGGAGGACCATTGTACTTGAATCTAGCTATTATCTAGGGTACTTGAATCTAGGGTGACTATTGTACTTAGACCTAGGGTAACTCCAGTATATCAAAACACATTAACTCTTGTATTTCTTCCTATGTTAACTCTTGCCTATCAACCTAGAGTATTTTTTGTATATCAACCTAGATTAATTCTTCTAAATCATCCAATGTCAACTCCTGTCTTTTAACCTAGGGTAACTTGTATATCATGCGCACCGTGACAATAGACATCGTATTTTTTCTTATCCATATCTGTAAGCCTCAAGAATGTGTAGCCTCAAGAAACTTAATATCTACTGCAGATAGTTTACCGTTCATCTTGTATATTTGAAATGAATTACCAATAACAAATGGCCGGTACCACGCCGCTGCTAGTAACTTTTTTAGTATCACTAAATCGAAATGAATTTAGCATTCGGATTTTTCATTTGGTGCAGTGATACTTATTAGTGATTTGGCAAAAAAATTTTAATTGTTTATCCCGAGGTCAAAAACGGTCATTATATCCAGGCGCCAAATTCAACACGTGATTGTTGGCACATATCAAAATAAATTCATTTGTCGTTACAAAGCACCACGTTAATACCGTCACTCACTATCAAGTTCAACTAAACATTAATATACGCATGACATTCTACATATTCTCCAGGTGGAGGCAACAGCAGTTGACCGGAGCGCCGAGGCAGTGTCCCTCACTGCCCACAACGCCGTGAAGCTGGGGGTTCAGTCACGGCTGACGGTGAAGCAGTGCGAGGTGACGGAGGAGCCTCTCGTGTGTCTGCCCCTCCAGCGCTACGACATTATAGTCGCCAACCCGCCCTACGTGCCCACCGCACACCTCCGCGACCTCGCGCCTGAAATTCGCTTGTGAGTAGAAGAAATTTGGGTAGATGATCTTTGACGGCGGGTAAATCCGACTACCAAGAGACCGTTTAAGTGCTGGTAAAATTCTCCCAAAAAAGAAGCGAATTTTGCTGGAAAAGACTAAGTGTTTTGTCCTTTCCTGAGTAACCTTTTTTGAGTAACCTTGGAGCTCGTGACCGACTTGTATTTTCTACAATTTGAAGTTATTTTCAATTCATACTTGCAAACGTTCGCCGAGCGAAATAACATATTATTACAAGTATTGTACAAACCTTGGTTACATATAATAAAAAATTGTACATACAGTACCTTACCTCTCAATTAATATATAGGTGGTCTTTTCTATACTGACGGTATGACGACCGCCACGATAGCTTCTTAAGAACCAATCCATTGTGAGATTATGAGAATGTAACCTTCATGCCGACGCTGCAGATACGAAGACCTGCGGGCGTTGGACGGAGGACCAGATGGTCTGACGGTCATCAAGCTCATCCTGCGCCAAGCGGCCAACCTACTTAGTGAAGAAGGCTTACTCTTCCTTGAGGTTCGTGCGCTATTAAGTTCCACAAACTCTTGAGGTTCGTATTCCAGTACGTTGAAATTGACAGCGCGCTGCGTGTGTCTAACTTCTTTTCACTTGAACCTAATATATCCAGGATACGATTCCATGATCTGTAAAAAGGTTCTGGCCTTCAACATTTCTAAGAATCGCCCGACTCTTAGATCAGTTCAGAGTTCAGATAACAGTTCTGAACCTCATCCTTTTGGTAATACCGATCCCTGAATTTTGCTGCCGTGGTTGAGGTTTTAATGCCTGGTGCAGGTGGATGAGCGACACGGGCGGGAGCTGCCGCTGTGGCTGCAAGAGGAACAAGAGCGCAACCAGTCGCTGCGATGCCTGCAGTTCGTCAGCGTGCAGAAAGACTTCTCTGGCAGGGACAGATTCATTAGGTTCAGAAGAGTCCTCGAGCACAATTACTCGTGATAATAGGAGCAAAATTATCTACACGGACTGATGAACTTCATCGAGCAGATGATAGTAATTGTTTCATTTCCAAAAGTATTAAAAATATCTATGTGTACCTGAACATCATCCACGTAGTCCTTGGCTGACGGAGTTGAGTTCATGGTTTTTCCCACGATCAGGTGTTATGGGTTTACCATTGAGCTCATTGGAGTCGCACGAACGCCGTTCATGCAGGAGTATGCAGTATGGTCATGGTTAACATCATGGTCACACTGCAGTATTGTTGGTAGTATGATGTGCTGGTGATATAGTGTGACATCAGCTTGTGATGCTCGTCATGTTCTCAAAATTGTTCATGGTTTGCGTTGAAGGATTAGACCAACGACGCGGTTCATCGAGAGCCTGAGATTAACACCAACGATTCAATGAATCGCACCTAAGCCGTCGCCCAATACCGTAAAATTTTCGTCCAGGTCTCATGGCGAAATAAAATCTAAATCGGTTGAAATATTTAGTCAGTGAATCTCAGATTGTTATATGATATTTGTTGCTTCAACTTTAATCGACAGCAATGCAGTGAGAGAAATTTTTAACCGATAATTTATCGACGTTTTATCTATTCACGAGAAAATTGCGCCTAGTATTGGACTCCAGCAATGTATTTTCATTGTGACCTTGAGGTAATTGGGAGAAAATTGAATATCAATATGCAAAATATATGTACTTGAATACAATCTTGGATTCCACACATACAAAAATAACGTAACAAGAAGCTATTTCTGCTCATCAAAACCCAACACAATATAGGAATTAAATCTACAATGAAGTTGACACCTATAATTAAACCGAGTCTAATGAAGTATCAGTCGTGAGAGCAAAAGGGAAGAGCTTATATAGAGAACACTTATAATATAAATAACACAAATATAATAAGACACACGAGAGGCGAGTTCAAGGGCCATTAATAACGTGATGGTCACAGCTCACGATCGATTATATAAATTTCTTGAGCGACTCGACATGACTAATAGGAAGCTCCATGAACGTTTCACTGCTGACTGCGATGCTTGCCAAGCTGCTGGGGGAAGCTGATGGTCTCCTTGCGGCCCTCGGCCATCAGGGCTTCGATTTCCTCAACACTGCAGGAAGAGAATAAATAATTTAGTAATGGTTTTATATTTAATTCTTGTTTTCCTTGCATCAAATAGTTGAGAAAATAAAGTGGTGTGGACATCGAAGATTGGTATGTCTGTCCCTTTCCAGACACTGGGGCATAATCTAATTGCTAGCTGTAAGTCTCGAACCTGCAATTCACTGCTCCTATCGTGCTTTTATTAACCATCCAGCCCCCTCGCCGATTATTACTAGAATTTTTATTCAGCTAGCTTTGCGATTTGAACCCGCAACTCGCTTTGCTAATCTCGGTTATCTCGACCACTCAGCCATCCCGCGACTCTGATACTCCGTTTGGAATAAAAATGAGATGCACAAGGAATTCACCGAAGTAATCTTACAGCGGCAACAGCAATACTATCAACTACGAGAAAAGGTTTCTCATCACAATATAATAATAAATTTTCACATTTTCTCAAAATGAGAACCCAAATTCATAAATTAGGAAGAGAAATGTAAGATGCCATATGGCGACTATGATAAGAGTATCCAAATGACCAATAGTAATTTGTGTCCAGATGAATGACCAATAGTGAATTAGTGCCCGGACGGTCACTGTTAAACGAGTGCCCGGACGGTCACTGTTAAATGAGTGTCCGGACGGTCACTGTTAAACGAGTGCCCGGACGGTCACACTGTTAAACGAGTGCCCGGACGGTCACTGTTAAACGAGTGCCCGGACGGTCACTGTTAAACGAGTGCCCGGACGGTCACTGTTAAACGAGTGCCAGGACGGTCACTGTGAAACGAGTGCCCGGACGGTGCCCTGAGGACCCACGTTCTCGGGACGCGTGTGAGGTTGAGAGCGCCGTCGCTGGTGATGAGAACGTCGTCTTCGATGCGCACGCCACCGAAGCCCCTGAAGCGCTGCAGCACCTCGGGCACCAGGAACTGCTGCTGTACTGGGTCCTGCAGCGCTTTGTCCAGCAGCTGTCATACAATACAATGCTATAAAAACATTCTATAGCAACTGTGATGTAAAAGTTCTTAAGAATACGAAGTTCTTTGTATTGATATAATACAAAGTTACTACACTAGTTACGAAGCCGCATAAGATTTACCTTTAATCGAATCAATTAGTTTAACTGTTGGTATTTTCGACCACCAAAAGCTGCTCACCTATCAAAATAAAAGTAAGGCGTAATAAGAGAATAGTTATTTTATTTCACTGCTGCTCGGCTAACAAAATAAAAGTAAGGCGTAATAAGAGAATAGTTATTTTATTTCACTGCTGCTCGGCTAACAAAATAAAAGTATGGCGTAATAAGAGAATAGTTATTGTATTTCACTGCGAGACAGAAAGCATGTAAGGCTCACACTATCAATGAAGTAGCAGCCAGGCTCGATGGTGAGGAACATGTTCTCCAGCAGGGGCCGGACGGTACGGAGTTTGTTGAAGCCTGCCTTGGAGGGGCGGGGCGGACAGTGGGGGAGGTAGCCGCCCGAGTCATGCACGTCCATCCCCAGCAGGTGGCCTAGTCCGTGCGGCTGGAAGACTGCGCCAATGTCCGCCTGTATTAACGGACTCTCCTTCAATATGCAGCGTTGTCTTACGGTGATATAACTCTGGTTATAGGCTTGTGTTCAAATTTGGTTTTTCAATTGAATGACCTCAGCTTCCTTCCTTGTTCCTTTAAACGTTAAACATATTAATTCTTGAGCCGAACCTACGGTACATAGCTATTATGATTGTGACACTGATTGTGTCACAAATTTATAATGATTATGACACTGAAGACAAAAAGTAACTCGAACCAAGAGAGTACTCTAGACCGTGAAAAATTGACTCCCGTCAATAAATTATTAAGCATCAAGCAAAAGCAGAAAGTCTCCAATTTGCCAGCATTTAAAACTACTCAATAGACAATACCACAAAACTACAGTAACGAGTGTACTGTATATCTCTCTCAGCAATTAGAGTATAGATCATTTACAATCATTCATTATTATCTAGTTTGAAATTATAACAAAAAAAAAACAAGCCAAGTCTTGATACCATGATAGGGGCCAATTGAAGGAATATAAAATCTTAAATGTACAAAACTCACATCTATCATGGCATCGACGTCACCGCGCAGTAGCCCGCCATCCTTAAGCTTCTGAAGCATCACTCTGTAGGGACGGTCGCAGATTTATTTATTGACGCTTTGCGCCATATATTACTTTTTAGAGATATTCCTTCCTGAATTATGCGACCTGTAATAAATTTTGTCACAAAAAAATGAATGGGGCCTACAAGCTTCTTGGTTCTTGCTCTGGGTGTCCTTAGGAGTTATACTTCTTAATTAGAAAGCAGATCTAAAGTATTCATCCATACGCTACTGACCCTAATAATGATTAGCTAATATCGTTCTCACTGTGAATCATTTCAACAGATGAAGATAAACAGAATATCTTAAAACTTAACGCATACAATCGTAGTGAAAAATAACCTGAGTAGCACGATGTAGCTGAGCAGGTGCATGTCATCCTACCTGTAGCTGAGCAGGTGCATGTCATCCTACCTGTAGCTGAGCAGGTGCATGTCATCCTACCTGTAGCTGAGCAGCTGCATGTCATCCTACCTGTAGCTGAGCAGGTGCATGTCATCCCACTTGACGCCAGGCTTGACCGCCTCAAAGACCGCTTGGTTGGCGGCGAGTACAGCGTTGTAGACGAGGCGCTGGTCGTCCGAGAACTTGCCGTTCGCTGGGAAGGAGCAGGTGATGTCAGCTGAGTAGCAGTAGTACTCGGCGCCCATGTCGAACAAACACATGTCGCCGTCTCGGATCTGCCCACAAACAACAAATATATAATACGAGTCAAATTTAAAACTAGCCTCACCAGCTTACCGAACTGAGCTGCAGCCGATATAAGGTGGTTTGAGGTAGAGTTAAAAAAGACTGGTACGACCAGTCATAGTTTCGCTGTAATTATAGAGATAAAAAAATCTAAAACTGCGTAGTATGCAGATAACTATAGCAGTGAGTTCATCATGAGACTTTTGCACTGCTATGACTGGACAAGAAAAGAGCTATGACTGGTCAAGGAAGGCACTACAACTGGTCAAGGACGGCACTACGACTGGTCAAAGAAGGCACTACGAATGGACAAGAAAAGAGCTATGACTGGTCAAGGAAGGCACTACAACTGGTCAAGGACGGCACTACGACTGGTCAAAGAAGGCACTACGACTGGTCAAGGAAGACACTACGACTGGTCAAGGAAGGCACTACGACTGATCAAGGAAGACACTACGACTGGTCAAGGAAGACACTACGACTGGTCAAGGAAGACACTACGACTGGTCAAGGAAGACACTACGACTGGTCAA